TGTTTATACATGCACTGGGTACAGTCAGAAGGGTGGGAGGGTGAGAGAATTCACCAGAGCCAGAGCAGGGAGCAGAGCAGGCAGAAGGACCGAAGTACACTGCTGAGGGGAGCAGCGGGCGGCAGGAGAGGTCTGCACGCCATGTGGGACCCTCCTCCGGTGGCCAGGGAGCAGCCGGGGATCGAACCGGCGCCGCAGAGGCCGCGGGCAGCTTCGCAACCCAGCGCTCAACCGCTGCGCCACCGTGGAGGCCCCCCTACCCCATTTTAAACAAGGGGAAAATCCTTTGTATTTCATACGTTGATAAGCTGTGTCAAAGTGCCAGCCCAGAAGAGTGTTCACCTTCTGGGAGATGACAACTCACTGCCCAGACCAAAAATAGCCATGGAAGACAGAACTAAGATGCCTGACTCATGGTTCGATGGACAACATTCAGAAGCATAGTGTGCTCAGTTTGTTGCAGTTCTGGACCCAAATTCTAGTTGTACCATGATTTAGCAGAATGCAACCAATAAGACTATCAATTTGCATTTTCTGCATTTGTTCTTCAACTCCATAAATATACCCAAAACACTCGCCTCCACATCAGTCTCCAGTCTGCTGCTAGGTTACCTCACAGTAAACTGGTTCTTTTCTCAAAAGCTGGTGGCACTGGGTTTTTTGGCTTCTGTGTCATGGGGTAGCAGGCGCATGTTCAGCAACACGATCATAATGTAGCATTTACTTATTTGTATGTGTAAAATCTGCAACTGAGAAACAAACAAGAAGTCCAAGAGCCTTCGAATAACTGGCAAACACTAAGGATGAGATTTTTACCTGTTTTGTTGTCTGTTTATTCATCCCCTGAAGCTCATAGTAAAAGCACAACAAATATTTACTGGGTGAATAAAGGACACTACTAATGAATGAACAAATGAATGAACAAAGTGCTGTGTGAATATTACTGTAAAGTAAATTCAGTTACCAAAGATTAAAAATATCCTAACAAAGACCAGCTCTGTCTTCTGGTTAGGCTTAAAGAAACTTTCATTTTGCTTCTAAAGCAGGTCTTGCCTCAGGACTGGGCAATTTACTCACAGAGCACCAAGGAAAAATGTGTGCCTACTGCCAGCTGTTAAGAATCACAGATCATAAAATCTTAGAAGCAAATACACTGCGGAAATGAACTTAATGTTTTATGTTTTCTTATTGCCTCAAACTGCCAAAAAGGCTAGTGTACTTTACAGGGAAGAATGCTCATAGGAAGTAGTTTCCTACCCCTGAAACCCAATTATTTCAAAGATGACAACTATGTAACCCTATGTGACTATAGGGTTTTTCAGACAGGAAGCAATAGTGGCACACCTAGCTGAGGAAAGGGGAGAACAAGAAACAGAGAGGAAACAACACACTGAACAAGAACATGGCTTAGAGGTTAGCCTGCAAAGTATAAAAACAATGAACTAATTTCTCTAATGTCTCCCAAAATGTTATTTACCTGTATATCGTAATTTTTTAAAAAGAGGAAATAAAGGACATGGAAACAAATAGCACTCTCCTTGGTGGTCACCTGCCTCTCCCCTTTTTCCCATTGTAAACATCTTCTCATTTTAATGGCTCCTGTAGAAAAAAAAGTGGTAATAACTTGATCACCCTAAATAGGGCAGGGAATAGATCATGGATGACTTTTTTACACTTTCTATTTCCCTATAGTTTTTGGATTTTTTCTAAAGTAAGTTTTCCCTCTTGTTATGAGAAAACAGCCTTTAAGTTTAAGGAAATCGTACAGCTGAAAGTGTATGTCCTAGTAATAAGAAAACTACACTAAAGAAATCCTTTACCCAAAAAAACCACAAGAGAATTCAATAATACCAAACCATCCAATCCTTCCACTCACTGTCTTAACTCTTTTCCTCCTCAACTGCCAATATACCTAACAATTCATTTACCAAAAAAAAAAATCATGTCTTCATAATAGTTTAAATTTATGTAGCATTTCACTGTTTGCAGGCATTATTTAGCTGATAGCCCCCTCCCCCAACAAATGTGTGATAGCCCACGTGAGTATTTTTATTTTTGCTTTACAGGTGAGGAAAATATTGCCATGACAGAAGCCAGGACCTTCTCATTCCTCAGTTGTTATTCCAATACAGAATTTCTCAACTTTGGCGCTATTGATATTTCAAGCCAGATAATTGTGTTTTAGGGGGCTGCCCCATGCATAGCAGGATTTTAGCAGTGTCCTTGATCTGGCTCCCCACTAGATGCCAATAACGTTGCCTCCTCCCATCTCCCACCCCCTCTCCAAGTTGTTACCAACCAATAATGTCTCCAGGAACTAAAAATATCTCATTGGGCATAATCATACACAATTAAGAACTACTGGTCTAAAAGAATCTGCACGATTCCTTCTAGCATCTACATCCTATGACAAAGCTCCATATATCACTGAGCCAAAATAAATCAGTGTTATCAGATGCTGCATGTTCAGCTAAGCAATTCCCAATCCACTTAAAATAATTTTTTAACCTGGAAATTTTCTTGTACAAATATTCACATCTCAAATGATAAGTCTAAAAGCAAAGTATCTCATCTGAAAATAAGGATATACATAATAAAGACATAGTGATACCCGTGGGCTTAAAGGAAAAAACATGTAGAGATAAGACAGATGTCTTTCTAATAAACCTTATTAATGCCTTATACCTTAGCGTTCCCTCTCTAAAAATGGATATAAACTTACACATTGTCCATACTTGTTTCAGCTGGGCTTCTGCTTAAAAATGTTACTTCAAGGTTTTTAGAAGAAATCAAATGATAACTGTGGAACATTATTAGAAGTGGTGGTCTGCAGCTGAAGCCACTAGTGTTTGTGAACCCAAAAGTTAAACCGGCAGATCTCACAATCCTATTTAGAAGCACATTTAGAAGTTTAAGTTTCTTCGCACTGCTTAATCTGAGTCTATTCCTGCCTATTCCACCCTAAAAATTCCTTATTTCATAAGCCTTTTTAGAAAATACCTGAACTGAAAAGCTTTTGCAACCTAATTCCCTTTAACGTCTAAGTTCTGTAAAGGCAGGATCCCAAATGGTCAGATAATTACAAGTATGGCACTAACCAAACTGATATTAATACTGCCTAAATTACAGCAAATTGAAATGCAGTTATATTTTTAAATATGCATGAATTATTTTGTCCATATAGGTCTAGTTCAGTCATCCTCTCTCATCATTTCCCAAAGGTAGTAATTAGAATACTGTGGAAGGGGAAAGTATTTGTACTGGCTTTATTCAGTGCTTCAATGCGAAGTGTCACAACGCAATCCTAATATTAAAAAACACATTTTGCAGCTGTTTAGAGAAACTAAGTTATAGGGACCATAGTTATGAGGATAGGTAGAATTAAGAGGCTGTGCTTATTCATAACGTCCACAATCACTCCGGTATGATGTACTGATGTCTTTCAATGTAATTGGAACCTATACCGAGGAGACATATTCTCCGTATTACAAAACACACTGTACCCGAAGTGTCTGGTACCTCATGGTCTCCACAAACCTTCACCACAAAGTACAAAAGAACACATTGATCCTTCAATGAAAACAACTCCCTGATCTTGGAAGACATCAGCATGACCAAAAACAAAAGCAAGAAATACCACAAAATGAGGCTTTAGAAAGGAAGGAACAGAGATCTAATCAATATAAAATATTTTCCACTGTGTACCTCCATAACTCAAATCCTTTTCTTAAAAACAGCCAACAATCAATGACTTCATCATCACATCGAATTGTTGGTGCATTACATTCATCACTTAAATATCCAAGGCTTTTAATTAATACTTTGCTCTCCGACAGAAACAATGACAATTTCATACTGCTGTAAACTGCTGCCACTGAGAAAAAATTCTATCACTTAAAACAAACGTTAAATGCATGTATCCAACCAGGGGCAGAAGACACCTCACAGCCATGGATCAAGTGGCACCGGGGACGAGGTTCACTTCCCGCACAGTTTAGTACACAGTCCAAAAAATGTGCACACCAACACCGAACCATCACCACACCTTTTATCTACTCTTCCTAAAGAGGTTCCCCGGTAAACACACAACTAAAGAGTACACATCTCGGAAAGCTGGGGTGTGACCTGAGCGGGGCATTTACCAATCTCGCTAAAGACATGTCTCCCTCGGATGCTGGCGGGCGAGCGCGCGCGGTTGGGGTTTGAGCACTTAGACGGGGAGCCAGAGACCAGCCCAGCCCCAGTTAATGGTCCCCCTCTCCAGCAGGATTCTCATTCCCCGGGGGTTCTCACAGCGCCTCTCCCCAGCGCCTCCCGCCAAGGTGCTTCCAGCAGGCTGGCCGGCCGGGGTCAGGTTCCCCGAACAGAATCTGAAAGGGGAGGGGGCGTTTCCTGAGTTCCCAGACGACCTCCAGCTCCAGACACTGTCCCGAATCCCAGAAACTTTTCCTCGGTGAAATGGCAAAGAAAACGGCTAAAACCCTCAGCCTCCGTCCGGTGGTCAGGAGCGGGGAAAAGCCTCCAACCCCCCACCCCCCTCCACCCCCGCCCCGACAATTCTGCCAGAGCTGGCGGTCAAGTTCTCCGCGCAACAGCGAGGGACGTCAGACCTCAAGCCCGCGCCTGCAGCTCAGGGTGGTATAAACAGGATGTCAGCGCGTTCCAGGCTTGTTTATGAAAACTTGGTGTGAGCTCGGGGGGAGGGGGCGGCGAGCCTTACCCTTCCCCTCCCGGCCCGGGGCCCTGGCCCTCGACCTCCCCGCCGCGGGCCGGCCCGACTCGCTGGAAATCCCCCTGTGCCCCGCGCGCGCCCTCACGCCCCCACCCCGCCGCGGCCACCGCGTCCAGCACCCGGCAGGGGGAGCGGCCCGGGCGGCGCCGGGCGCGAGGACTCAGAGCGGCGGCCGCGTCGCCCGCCCGCGCCCAGCCCCGCCCCGCGCCCCGCGCCCCGCCGCCAGCGGCCGCCGCGGGCTTCTCCGCCTCCCCTCGCGGACACTCACCACTTCCGTGTGCGCCGGGCCAGGGGGCTCCGGGTCGCGGCGCGGGGCGGGGTCGGGCGGCCCGCTTTCCCAGCGGCCAGCTCCGCGGGGCCCCGGCGTGCGCGCGCCCCGGGCTGAGGAGGGGTCGTCGGGAGGGCGACCAGCGTTCGGGCGAAGGCCCGCACCGTCTGCGGCTCCCAGCTACTCCGCCGCCGCCGCGGCCTGCGTTCCGCGACGTACCCGCCTCCAGCCCCGCCCCGCCCGCGCCGGGCCCCGCCCCCTGGTGACGTCACACGCGGCAGCCCCGGAAAGCGGGAGGGGGCAGCGGTCGAGGCCGCGGCGCCGCCCACGCGCAAAACCCAGCGACTCCAGCCTTGCGCCCCGCCCCCATCCGGCCTGGCTTCGGCCCAAACCCCCAACGCGCCTCTTTTTTTTGTTGTTGTTGTTATCTTTTATTTACCGTGTCTTCTAGAAACACTAATCGAGGGATATTAGGTCAGCCCGGCAGGAAGTGAAACTGTCACGATCTGGCCATAGGTTGACCCTTCCCGAGTTTGGAATGCCCTCCACCACATCTCTGTGCCCTGCTTAATCACAGTCCTTTGGAAGAGAGGGCTGCTGGGCTTAATAAAAATAAATAAATAAATAAATAAATAAATAAATAAATAAATCCACCAGGGCCTCCCTGGTGGCGCAAGGCAATCCGCAGCCTCTGCAGCACGAGTTCGATCCCCGGCTAGCCAGGGAGCAGCCCACATGGCACAGCAGACCTCTCCTGTCTTGCCCCCTGCGCCCCTCAGCAGTGTACTTCGGTCAATCTGCCTGTTCTGTTCCCCACTCTGTCTCTGGTGAATCCTCTCTCACACACACACACACACACACACACACACACCACCCCCCCACCCTACCCACCCCCCGCATCGCTGGCCTGTACCCCAGCTCTTGTATGCATAAATAAATCTTTAAAAAATATTTAAAAAAATAATAAATCCTCCAACTTTGGGCCTCCCCTGGTGGCGCAGCGGTTGAGCGCTGGGCTGTGAGGCTGCCGCAGCTCTGCAGCACTAGTTCGTCCCCGGCTGCCGGCGAGGGTCCCACCAAAAAAAAAAATTAAAATTAATAAATAAATCCTCCAACTTTGACAAGTTACTTCGGATCCAACCCATACTGTTTAAAGAATGCTTTAAGGCCTCCCCAGTGGCGCAGCGGTTGAGCGCTGGGTTGCAAAGCTGCCTGCAGCCTCTGCAGCACCGGTTCGATCCCCAGCTGCACCCCGGCCACCTGGAGGAGGGTCCCACATGGCGCGCAGACCTCTCCTGCCGCCCGCTGCTCCCCTCAGCAGTGTACTTCGGTCCTTCTGCCTGCTCTGCTCCCCGCTCTGGCTCTGGTGAATTCTCTCACCCTCCCGCGCTTCTGACTGTACCCAGTGCATGTATAAAACAAAAACAAACAAATAAATAAAACATGCCTCTATAAAAAATTTTAAAAAATTAAAGAACGCTTTAAAAATAATTACATACAATAGTAATAAAAACTAAACTAAATAAAAAACTGGAAAACATTTGTTGATATCTAATGCTTGCCCAGCGCTTTTCATTTTCACTAGTTATCCCTCTAAAGTAGATATGCTCCTCTTTTTACCCATGAGGAAACAATTGAGGCTTAAGTATCTTAAGGCACACTATAGCCAAGGTTCATGCCCCTTTGCAATCCATGGCCAAATCCTGGCAACTTTTCTAGTAGCTTTTCAATCTATTCGCTTGTCTTGAGTGTTTAATACTAGGCTGATCTGCCACCACCTGTCACCAAAAGAGCCACAAACACCTCTCAAACTCTCAGTTTACATTCACTCCAGTCTCCAATTAATTGTTCATTATGAGCTTTTAAAAATTCAAATCTGTACCACTCACTCCCAATACTTAAAACACCACAGTCCCTTCCTCTTGAAAATCTCAAAATAAAAATCCTCTTAAGGGAGTCCGGTGACACTCTGCAGTTCAGCTCACTAAACAGAGCCTTCCCACCTGCCCTGATTTCACTAAACCCTAAAGAAGAGAGAGGTTACTCTTACTCAGCAAGAGTGACTGGTAATTGGTGAGTGAAAAGAGCCCTGGAATCTAAAGTCCTGAATTTTAGGTTTGGCTCCCCACCATCACGGACCAGTGTGACACCCTAAACAATTAGCAGTATACTCATAAAAATTGAGGCGCAAACTAAAGGATCTCCACAGTGCCTTGTGGAAGGAGATAGCAGAGAAGACAGGAGAATCAAGCAGGGAGGTGTTGGACCAGGTGTTCTTGTGTAGTTTGCTTTACCTGGTACTCAGGGCTGTTTGCATCATTTTCTTCACCTGTTAAACTGGGAGAATATAGACCTTACAAGGACTATGCTGAAAGCAAACTAGCACATGGCATGGGCTTAAGTAAATCACTGTGATTTTTATTCAGCAGGCCCTTAAAAAACAGGCATAAGTAACATGAACAGAGACAAAAACATGAAAGAGCCACAGTAGCATGGTTATTAGGCAAAGTGACACGTGAAGAAGGCAGCAGTGGGCCTCCCTGGTGACACAGGGGTTAAAGACAGCTCTGTCAAGCTTTCGCCAGCCACTGCAGCTCCAGTTCTATTCCAGGCTGCCAGGGAGCAATCCACATGGCACAGCAGACTTCTCCTGCCTCCCTCACTGCTCCCCTCAACAGTGTATTTCAGAAGATCTGCCTGTTCTGCGCTCCATTTGCTGGTGAATCCTCTGACCCCCCGCACCTCTGGCCTGTACCCCAGTTCTTGTGCATAAATTTTTATGAGTATACTACTAATTGTTTAGGGTGTCACACTGGTCCATGATGGTGGGGAGCCAACCCTGAAATTCAGGACTTTAGATTCCAGGGCTCCTTTCACTCCCCAATTATCAGTCACTCTTGCTGAGTAAGAGTAACCTCTCACTTCTTCAGGGTTCAGTGAAATCAGGGCAGGTGGGAAGGCTCTGTTTAGTGAGCTGAACTGCCGAGTGTCACCAGACTCCCTTAAGAGGATTTTTATTTTGAGATTTTCAAGAGGAAGGGACTGCGTGAGGAGATAGTATAGACAGTACATGGTGACTGATTAGAGGTGACTACTGAAGCACATGACTCCCAGATTTTCTGAATTAGTTGACAAGTTGACCAAGGATAAACTGGATGAGGAATTTCATTTTATTTTTGAGAATAGATGAGTATTTTAACGTCACTTTACAATGACTCTATAGGAGTGGGGAAGTTGAGGGAGGGAAGAAGCAGTATAAAAGAAGGAAAACAAATATTTCTTGGGTCTCCCTGGTGGTGCAGGCGGTTGAGTGCTGCACTGTGAAGCTGTCTGCAGCCTCTGCAGTGTGGGTTCCATCCAGCCGGCCTGCAAGAATCCCATATGGCACGGCAGACCTCTCCTGTCTCGCCCGCTGCTCCTCTCAGCAGTGCTTTCAGTCTGTCTGCCTGTTCTGCTCCCCGCTCTGTCTCTGGTGACTCCTCTCACCCTCTCGCGCATCTGACCTGTACCCCGGTTCTTGCATAAATAAATCAATCTTTAAAAAAAAACATTTCTTTTTCTCTTAACATGTAATATGTGGCATGAAATCTGCAAATCTGCTACAAATATTCATCTAAATTGAACTAAACCAAATGTAATGGAGAAGTGTCTAACTAGGAAAGTCGCCAAAAATAAAATATCCTGCCCATCACTAGTCATACAAACATGGGTTTCTCACATAAATCTTCAAAAGAACATTGGCTCACCAGTCCATTTCTCTGCAAAAACTATTTCCTAGATTCTAATGGGAGGACATATTAGATTCAAACAATGAGATTTGCCTTTAAAATGTTATACTGAACAAAACAAACTAGGGCCTCCCCGGTGGCGCAGAGGTTGAGCACTGGGTTGCGAAGCTGCCCACAGTCTCTGCAGTGCCGGTTCCATCCCCGGCTGCTCCCCGGCCACCAGAGGAGGGTCCCACATGGCGCGCAGAACTCTCCTGCCTCCCGCTGCTCCCCTCAGCAGTGTGCTTCGGTCCTTCTGCCTGATCTGCTCCCTGCTCTGACTCTGGTGAATTCTCTCACCCTCCCGTGCTTCTGACTGTACCCAGTGCTTGTATGTATGTATGTATAAATAAACAAACAAATAAATAAATCTTTAAAAAAAAACAAAACAAACTAAAATACCATTATGCAAATCACAAAAGAATGGAGGCTATAATCACCTGTGACTTTGCAAGTTACCATATTACATATGATAATATATATTTTCTTCCAGTTATTTTTTTCACAAGGGTATTCTTAATGTAAATATAATCATGGTATACATGTAATTGTATGTTGTTCCTTAAGCTTGTTTTTTTAAAGATTGATTTATTAATGCATACAAGAACTGGGATACAAGCCAGAGACAGAATGGGGAACAGAACAGGCAGATTGACTGAAATACACTGCTAAGGGGAGCAGCAGGAGACACAGGAGAGGTCTGCTGCGCCATGTGGGTTGCTCCCTGGCCGGCCGGAGATTGGGGATCAAACTCATGCTGCAGTGGCTGTGGATAGCTTCATAGGTTGCATTTTAACCCCTTGTGCCAACAGGGAGGACCAAGCTTGTTTTAATTTATAAGCATTTTTCCAGGTTATGGCAAAAGCCGTCATAACTAATGAATTTCTTATGCAAATAACTTTTAAATAATGATTAAATGTTCAATTAATTTTTATTATTTAGATAATTATCTTAGGACAGATTCACAGAAATGGGATTTTTTAATCAAATGAACTGCATAATTTTAGATTCCTGATTCAGAAATCAGGAATCTATGGCAAGTTAGTTTCTAAGACCTTTCCACAAAAGTAATTAGGGTGATGAATCCTATGTCTTGATAAAGGGCCTTTAGATCTAACTTCCAGAAATAGTTTTCTTCTAGGGGGCAAGGTTACTTATCACTTACGAAACTGATTGTATGACTCCCTTTGATTGCTCGGAAGCTCCGAATCAAATTTTAGTCATATATAAATTATGAACAGGAACTCTTAACATTCACTTTGTGTTATCCTCACATTAGCACCATCTTTTC